TTATTGTTTAATTCCTTGCCATACTTCGACGAATCGTGATGGAGATTTTTAATAACAACCTGTTAAGTATGAATCTTAATCTGTTCTTTTAAGTCTAAATAAAATTCACAACGCAATAATATGTATTTTCTTTTTCTTTTAAGAAGTTATTACAATAGAAAAGCTTCTAATTATTGTAACTGAGAAGAAAATGATATGGCGAGGGATTAAAATAATGAAATAACTAAAATAAAGGCTGCTTTTCAGAAAGCCAGTCTGGTTGAACTTTTGCAAATAGCTTCATGTTATATTAAAAAGTGTTTTTGCCAGAATAATAATAATAATAATTTTGAAAAGTTTTATGCTTAGATTTTGCTGAAGTTCTGAAAACATACTTTTTAGATAAAAGCAATGTTTACGAGACAAATATCCGATGATTTTAAATAGAAAAGTTAAAATAGAGTTAATAGAGTTAATAGAGTTAAAATAGAAAATTTTGTGATTTAATCATTGTAATGTCACTCTATGAGTTACTGAAAGAATGCTGCTGTTTGAATTCATTCGTGAAGCCACATCTCATAATTAATGAAACAATTAGCCATATACGAAATAAAACACAAAAATGATCCGTTATTTTTATTTTGTTCGTAAAACACTAACTTCACTTGATATCATAATGCTAGCGATTAAGTTTATTAAAGTAATGGAACCTATTCTTGCATGCTTTTCTTATTCCCTAAGCTGGCACGCATATCCCCAGAAAGAGAAAAAACAAAAACCATTGTTGAAAGAGTAGAGACTAGTATGAACAGCTACGTATTTATTTCAGGTTTTCTATTTGAAAAGAATTGATTACAATTTCTCGTAAAACATTTCGCGTTATCAAGAAAACTGCAGCAAATTACTGGTTAATGAAAATAATTATAGGTTAGTGTCCATTGCTAGCATAGTGTATTAAGAAAATTTTTTCTATCTATTTTATTTTAAAACCATATAATGTAAATAAGTAATGTATTAATAACTTTAAGTACCATTGTAATAAAAAGTGTACAAGAGAACAGCAGTTAATGACGACACTCTACATAATACACATTATTGTATTTTGTAAAATACTTAATATAATTTGTAAATAAATGAAAATCTTTCTAATATTTCATGTATTAAATAAATTAATGTATATACAGTTGCAATACTACTCAAATGAGGAAAATATTTTCTTAGAGAACATATCGTAGACTTGGTAGTTTTAACTAATTAATAAAAGCTTCAAATATCTCACTAATGTTATCAGTGATAAGTGCAAATTCACTTTACAAGTCATTAGTAGAACAATGTATTCAATATATTGTAGAACCTCGTTTATCCGTACCTTATTTATGCAAACGAATTAATGTGTTACCTCAGGCATGCGAACTCATAATTGAACCTTCATTTTCCGAACTACTGTCGAACATATTCTTATTTATATGAATGCGTATTTTTATATATAAGTACATAATTAAATTGCAAAACTGACTAATTAATAAAACAATTAATTCTTAGTACAATGGGATAATAATTCTTAAGAACAACAAACAAAATAATTAACTCTTAATAATAATATTAAAAATTATGAAAATTGTTTCATATCTCGGTTAATGATTTTAGATTACAGACCTTCAACGGTAAAATGGTAGCTGTATCTGTTTTCTCGCGTTACCGTTTCCAATCATAAGCATTTGAACCTCATTTAGTCGATCTGCAGCCTTGATTTTCCGAATGAATAGAAACACAGAGAGAGGGATAACTATAATCTCTACTATCGGAACACCTTGGTTATCCGAACTGCCTTGGAGTCCGATGTGTCCGTATAAACGAGATTCTACTGTAATTCACACTTGTACAAAGTACTTGTACAAAGTAGCAATACATTATTCAACATGTTCAGATGTCTAGAACGTGTCATTGATTATAATAAATAAGTGAAATTACTTTGGTCAGAAAAAGACATACTCAGAAATTTTAAATCATTTATGAGCTGTATTCTGTATATAAAATTACGTGAATGTCCAGTAAGTATTATTCTACTGTTCTGATACAGGATATTTCTTAATATGCAAGATTCGTTTCAGGGATTAACTCAGTTCTTGAAAAAAAAATGAAAATAAAGATTTATAAATGTATTCCTTATTGAACCTTGTTTACGAGATATAGTGAATTTTGCCATTTTCTCCAGTAGAGATTCTCAAAAGGCATGTTTTTAAACGTTTCGTTACCATGATAGTGTTTGTATAATATAAAGTAATGAAACGATCGTACAAAAAGTATACATATAACATATGAGGTAGTATTAAAAGTTTTTTTGTTGCTTTTTATATCCACTAAATGAATCTTATGTGTAGAATTTCATGTGCTGAATACGAATCTGCAAATCGTTTTGTTTCATTATCATATTTAGCATCTCAGAAATTTGATTTCAGAGAAAAAATAAAATTTTCAACTTTAAAAACTATGTTTTAACTATAATAGTTATATAAATGATATTTAGTAGAATAGTAGCGTAAGTTTTTCTAAATACAACAATGTATTTTTGTATAACATTATAAATATTTAAAGAGCTGTGTACAATAGCTAAAACAAATGGAACACCTTCAACGCGCCAACGTTTTCCGAGTCTTTTCAATTTATTTAAAAAATAAATAATAATATATACTATATGTATAATAAAATAAATGCGGAAACTCTTCATAAACAGTTTGTTTCCGATTGATTCAATTTATTAATACAGAATAAATACTTGAAGTTAAAAATGTGATTCTTTTTTCCAAATTTTTTAGAAACTTCAGACAATGGAGACAGATTCATATTCAACATCAGAAGACATAAGATTTACTTCAAATGTTGTTTGTGATTAAAAGTTGACCAGTGATGTTATTATAAATATCACCATTGGTTAATGGGAAAGTTATGACAATACAAACCTTGCTATAACTCATAAGCAAGGTCAAATAGATGGTTTCTATTGTTCTTAGATGGTACTATGATCCTCAAAGTAACAGAGTAGTTCACATGTAACAGGACACTCTTGTACACATTATTGCAAATATATGCAACTCTATTAAAATGGATAAAATGCATTATAGGTGAGATAACATGATCCACTATTATATATTGTCAGATTGTTTTGTGTTGAAGTAACATTTAATATTATAAGAAATTTGTTGTCAATCAAAGTATTTAAATGTTAAATATTTTTATAAAAACATTGTCAAGTTAATAGCTCTTTAGATACAGTTATTTATACAATATTTATAATTCTTGTAGACTGATTTATTAGTAAGACTACTAACACGAGTTTCATGCTTTTAAAATGAAA